GCAGGCGTGTACCCCTTCACAGGTGTGTAACCAGTTGCAAAGAAAATGCAGAACAGCTGTTATGACAAGTTCGGAGCGGTTTTGAAAAAAAGCCAGTTTTCTCCAACGCTGGTCGGCCGACCAGCTTTGGGAAAATATAAATTTTCTAGAAAATGTCAGCACACCAGGAGGCACGATTTTACAGGATCCTTTAGACTGTCATTCCCTTACAATCAAGTAAGGTATTTCGTGATAATTTGATCATTTCGTTTTTTGATGTTTGCTAATGTAGGAAAACGTAGGTACTTCGAATTCGCGTCCACAAAAACAAAACAAGAACGGAGCTCACAAAGAGTGCGTTCGATTACTTTCCCCAGCTTACTCGCGCCTGACTCCTCGCGTAATGACAGACATGCGCAGTGGAGCTAAATAAACGAACGGTTTCAGGTAAAGTTTCGTGCAAGAGCTGGAAATGGGCGTCGCAAGGACTTTTTTCTATAAGGGAGCAAAACATATTTTTCCACAACAAAATCCTGTTTCTCAAGATATTATCGATTTATCAGTTTTAAAGGGGGTAGGGACATTATGCCCCCCCCCCCATTAAATTTACACCAATTTGACTTCTCGCCTCTTTTCTCTTCGTGTTTTTTTGCTTTTCTGGGGGGGGGGGGGCGGATATTGCAACCTGACGCCACTTTTTTTTTCTTTATATATCATCTCAATTAAGGTCATGTATTGCAAAAATGATGATAAGACATGAATCTGGGACTGAGAAATATTTCCATTTTAGTTAAGAAAAAAAATTAAATTTCTTGACTCTCCATAGATTTTGTACACAATTGCGGAAGTGGCGTCAGGTTGCATCATTTTTCCAAGGCCGCATCCGAATCAATTAACTGTCTAGAGCACGTCCACGCCCAGTGAAAAAACGCGAGGACGCACTGACAAGTAGCCGTATAGCTCCGTGCATAGGGTTTGTTAGCTCTAAGCTCCGTGGAAGCCCGTTTTCGGACACGGCTCGAGTAAGCGCGAAAACTCACGTGAGAGGTAAATCGAACGCTGTCGCGCTTGCACGAGTAAGCGCGGAGGAAGTAATCGAACGCACTGAAAGTGTGTTGTGTTGCACCCATCGTGAAATAAAGAAATTATTCAGATAATGAATTAATTTATTACATCATATTGACATATCGCGGAAAGAAGAGCGACTTTATGACATAAACAGCCAATAAATAGTTCTTATATAGCGCATTATACACAAAAATGTCTCTATGCGATCAAGTAAGTGTGTCTTAATTAATTCAGCTGATCGAAATGACGATACAATATCTAAAGTTGACGCATTATCATCGTATGAATGGCTTCAATGCATTCGTTGACCCCACCATCATGGGTTAGCACTACTTGATTGATAACCACTGGACAAAGTCCTGCCCATATAAAAATAGATGTTTCAGATAATGGCGGAGGCTAACTTGCATAAAATTACACGCATTACCATTGCAAAAATAGCTCTATTTAATTCGTTGACCCCCAACATGGTTTGGTCACCTTGACTGATGCGTTTTGACAAGATCCTGCAGAAAACTTGTGTTTTACATAATGGCGTTGGCTAGTTTGCATATTAATTGTTTAAAAAAAACCTCAAGGGTGCGGAAGTGGCACCCATCGGAATATTGATCTACAAGGTTTAAATGACAAGAAAATGCTAATGAAAAAAAAATAATGTGGACACTAATACACGCTTCCGTGGTCAACCCCTGATATTTATAGGACTATTGTATGGCAATGTAAGGCAATAGTACGGTGATATAACGCAATGGTACGGCGATATTATACAAATAATGAATGTGTGTGAGTGCAATGGTAAGAATAATTTCATGAGGTGACAGATGAAATGTTCCGTTCCACGAGGCGTAGCCGAGTGTAATGGAACATTCCATCTGTCACCGAATGAAATTATTATTTCCATTGCACGATTGTGAAACATTCATTAGTTGTTTTATAATAACACCTGAATAAATTCTTGCTATCTGATTGGTTGACCTGTAAACTGGTACTTACATCAATGTTTTACTTTTTCAGATGGCAATAACTGGTGATTCACTTCCAATGTCCATTTTATTCAAGCTAAAAACTGTTCGACAAGTTCAAAACTAGCCTATATTCAATTTATCTCGGTTTAAAACTGTTCCACAACTAAGTTCAAAACTTAATTTTTGTATTTAAAAAACTGTTCTCGACAAGTTCAGAACTACCGTATCCAAATTCGTCCAATCGTTTGGCAGCATATCTTGTTGGCTTCTTTGTGTTTGCAGCGTCAGCGTCACCGATATTTCGTCTCTGTTAGCTTAGGGGATCGAGAACAAACGGAGATTCTCGCGTATGGTCCGTCAATTTGTTGCAGCGCCACCACCGGCAGTAATAAAACCGTGCGATGGAAGTTCATTCATCGTGGAATGGTATACAATTAATATAACATGGTTTGAGGGTGAACAGTCGATATTCGCTCCCCGAGGTATTGGAAGTTGACAAACTAGGCCAAAGGAACTAGTTTGTCAACTTCCAATACCGAGGGGAGCTAATATCAGCTGTCCAGCCGAAATAAACAAATTCTAATTGTTTTACTATACCTCATACATATTCAGCGCCAATTTTTTTTTGTTGCAGTATGCACCTCACACAATTTTGTTTGAAAAACCTGTCCAGTTCACCAAAAGAATCGCTTTCTGTTCGTTTACAATACAGTGCAGCTGTAAATACAGTAGTTTGTGTACAACACTCTTTTGTACAGGAGGCATCTTTATTGTCCATAAATATTCGGCATCATTGAGCTCGGGAAAGCGCCGTGTAACCATCTCTTCGTGTGTAGCTCTTTTGGACGATGTTCGTGCGTGTGTACTACACCCGTGCGACAGTTCCACGATTGCTTAGTAAAGCGCATGCGTAGTAGACTGTCGCATTACCCACGCGTATTTACCCTGTGCGTGAATCCTCGCGCGCGCGCTTGGTAAACGGCAAAAATAACATCTGGCAACGTGATGGTGAGTTGACCAGTGAGAGTTCGCTCTCGATCATGAATATGTATTAGGTATAGTAAATGGTATTATATGACCGACATACAGATCCTTGTCATTTGATTGGTGGAACTCACGTCACGTGTCATACGTTATTACTGCCATTCACGCCGCAGCTAAAAAAGAATATACTATCCGCCCATGGGGAATGAGAAATATTATAACACCTCACCCACGGATTCTGTGTCTTGATTGGCCGAGAGCGAGTCACAGGGTACTTTCTATTTTTGCTATCTTTCAGTGCATGGCCAAAAGTACTATACCCGTAGCAACCAAAGTACTATAACCATGGCGCGGGATTTGTTGGCAAATGATCTATGGCAAATGCATGCTGGTGTGCGCGCGTTCAGCGTTGCGCGTAGCGCGTATTGTTCCAAAGAGCCATCGCAACAGAGTTGGGTTCAAACATGTTCGTGAAGTGGCGGCTTGGAAGAGAGAAATACTAGTTTTACCAATTTTGTATTGAAATAAAAGTTTAACATTACAAACAGTTCAGTCGCATCTTCCATAGACGACCACGCGCGTGTACTTGTAGTGGCATGAACACGACGCGCTCTACTCCATAGCGATTCTACAAAAAGCAAAGAAAAAGACGGCCTCACGGCTGTTTCGAAGACTTTCAGATTAATGCACACCGAGTTCAAACTAGAAGATATATTACTTAAACATTCTGGAGGAAAAGTTTTACAAAATGAACAACTAAACATCCGTACCTGGTACATTTCCCTACTTGTGACAACACGCACATTTAGACTAACAGCAGAATGAGCAACGGAGATTTGCACGTAATTGATAGTGTGACCGGCGGGCTACCGCAGTGTGCGTACTGCACTGAAAGTTTCTGTATTCATGACGCGCCGTTACTTCAAGTAATAAATGCACACTTGGCACTGTAAAGAGGATTTTGTAAGCTTCATTTTGATCGGTCATTCAATGCAGTTGGTGAAACTAATACCCCGTACCAAGCAAGGGCGGATCCAGAACACAATTTTGGGGGGGGCCAAAAAAATTTTTGGTCCCCCCAAAAAGTGGGCCTAAAAAATTACGGCTTGGGGTTCGGGGCCCGCTTAAGGGCCCCGAAAAATTTTTGGATTCTAGATGCTCTGTGGTGCGATCTGAGGCAATTTCTGACCACTTTAACCAATTTTTTTTTAGGAAAAGATGGTGGTGTACTCATTGCCTGCCTTTATGCGATGTCACATTAAAAAAAAAAAAAATTGGTTTCGTTTTGGGGGGGGCCATGGCCCCCTTTGGCCCCCCCCCTGGATCCGCCCTTGGTACCAAGGACCAAACAAATTTGTCTGCTCAACAGTCCTTTGGCTGCAATAAAATACGGCGAACATTATTTTGCTTCGCTCCCCCACTGTGTTGTTACAAAGTAACAACTCAACGCGCGCGCGCCCGCGCGATCAGGCGATGGTAGGCTTGTACTGACACACACGGCGTATACACACATGCAAGGGATAAACGCAATTGCTGCGACAAAAACCATTCCACACGCACTTCACGTAATCAATAACTGACTTGATAAAGTTTAATACTGCTGTTCATAGATCATGTTGCGACTCGCCGTGTACAAACTGTTTGTAATGAATATATCAAATGACAAGGAGCTATATATCAGTTATATATAGCAAATATTGAGTGGCTTTAAATTGTGAAATGGGAGGACTGTTATCGCTCGGTACAATCTGAACTTTTCCATGGAAAAGTCCAGATTTTACCATGCGATAATATTCCTCCCATTCCACGCTGATTGTTTACTAGTCTATGCGGCGATGTACAGCGTTTTAACGCAATACTATGGTGATAAAAGAAACTTGCACAACGAATTGGCGAATTCGACCCATCGTAGTTGTGTGCCGCCAGGCGATATACACGCAGTTGGCTGACCAACACATACGACTTGGGATCGCGTGGGATTTAATTCTCTCATAAAGCTTTGTACCAATTTTTGAAGAGGCTAGCTTTCCTGTCAGGATGCATTTTGATAAGATTCTAGTTCTTCTTGGGGAATTTGGCTCATACCAGAAGAGGACCTTTTTCGCGATCTGTCTGCTCAGCGTAGTGTGGGCTTTCGACAAATTCGGCCTGGTCCTCGTCGGGGACGTGGGCGCGGACCACTGGTGCGCTCTGCCCGAATGGAAAGACCAGGATTGCGCCGCTTGGAACTTGACTGCAATGGAGTGTCAACTCGCGAAGAAGAACGCGTCGATTCCAAGGGGAGAGGACGGTGCTTTTGAGCAGTGCGAGAGATTTTATAACGTGACGGGAGAGGTGTTTTACCCAGGCCTGGACCCCAGAAATTTAACCAAGGAGGGGTGCGTGGATGGCTGGGAATTCGATACCAGTCAGTTTGAAAACACCGTCAAAATGGAGGTAAATTTAATCAAACAAAGGGCACCCTCGTCCCCTGGGGTTACTTTATTTTCAACCCCTGGTTGGGAACTTTAATACTTCCTGTATACCCTTTCCGATATGGCAAATGCTAGTAGTGTATTGTGCACTTGCTGGTGTCATTGCCAACGTGTATTACGAATTTTAACGTACAATGTGAATTATCACACCCACTCCACCTCAAAAACGAAACAACCCCTCCCTTTCCATTTTGCTGATAACAACATTTTATGCGATAAATGCATAATTGGATGCAGATTGCAATAAAAAAATTCGGATCTCACGCCGCGCCACGAATTGATTCTGATTTACTCCATACATCGTATACAAAAACAAGCACCATGCGAGTTTTTTGAAAATGCAAAATGCCCAATTAATACCAGGGTATGAGACCAGGTAATGGTGGGAGCGTCCTGCTTGACACCGTGGGAACCAGGTTGATCAAAGGTCTTGCTCCAACATCGATTCACATATACATTTTACAGTCTTGTAGGCCTACGTTATACATGATCGCAAAATGCACGGAACTAGTCCGCTTCATCATGGCCTCTAGCATGAGTATGCAGACTTTCGACTTTGAACCGAGTAGGCCTACAAATTGATGTAAACAGGGTAGAAATTGTGCAGGTATAGACAAATCCGGCGGCAGCCATTGTCTGTGGTGGCACAAGACTCGCGCGAGACGCGTTTCGGGCGGGCTGCGAATATTTTATTTACACAGGGTAGTGAGGGTACCCATTTTTCAGGCGACTTGAATCAAGGTTATAGGATTGTAGAACGCCGCGTAGCGGCGCAATACAATCCTGTAACCTTTTACCTTCGCGCGCGCATATACTCGCTCCACATGTGAAAGTATATAATTTATGAATTGCACGATTTGGTCGAGCACCGCAGTTGCCTAATGTTTAGGCACGCTGGCTAATGATCAGAGGTCCCGAATTCGATTCCTTGCTCTGACTCTTCAGATTTTGCCCTTTTTCAACAATTTAAGATTTTATCTTAGAAATGTTATTTTTCAGTCGGATACTACTTGTATAGCAGCAATTTTCTTTTTCCTTTCTGATCCGAGGCTCTGAAGAATTTTTTAAAAAGGGAAATAAAGTCCGAAATCCGTACAAAGTTGAAAAATAGTAGCCTCCACTCGAGCCTGGTTATAACAACCATGCCCCATAGGAAAGCGCACAAAGTACCCCAGATATACAAAAAAAAAATCGCGGGCAGGCACCTTCGACCAATAGAAATACCAAAATTCGCGCGCGCCTCGTCTTTAAGAACGCGTCTAGCATGCGTGTGAGCGTGACACCACCGCTGCAGTAAAAGCTTCTAATTCTGGTCGCCGGATTCCCTTATTATGTATGGGATACTTTAGTCTCATGTCACATGAGTATCACCCGTTATCCACGGAGCCAAGTCCACTCTTTACCATCTGATATATCTAAGAATGCGTCGTTTTTCACGTCATTTCACTCCAAAATCAGGACTAAGATTGTGATTGTCAATTTCAATGCCACGTTTTTGTAATAGACCGCTTGCAGACGCGATCGATAATTGACGCGCTAAGGTGAGCGACGCCATGTTCTGGGACAAAATGTGCGTGGATAGATATACGCCTGTCCCACAACATGGCGTCGCGCACCTTCGCGCGTCGTTTATCGAACGCGTCTGCAAGCGGTCTATACAACATCCTCTACAAAAATGCTACTCATCGTGGGCGTGATGTTTACGCACACGGGGAGCTCGAATCACGCGCGCATAGAAGGCGCCTGCTGATTGGTCAGTTTCTCGAGGTCATACGCAGTCTAGTTGCATCACCGAATCTGTTCACGTATAACAGACCATGGTCGGCTTCGCCAGGGTCAATTACATGGACTAGAGAAACGTATGCGGGACGGGAAATTAGCTAGTTATATCACCACTGTTTGTAGGTTTTTTTTTCACTAAACCCAAATATTAAAATTTTACTGTTAAAAGACATTGTCAGGTAATTAAATAAATGTCATCGAAATAAACAGGCGATCGTTACGTATAATCATCCATAACTAAAATTTGATGGTGTGATGAAGAATAAATAAACGTTTGGTTTATATTGAAACCGGTTTAATAAGGGCCATGGTCCCCGAAATTGGTGTATTATCATTTTGTGCCAACGTTGAGGATGATCACTTGCTTGAAAGTGCCCAAAGTTGGGGTAGGATCTAGAAAAACGTGTGCAAATATATGGCTTTCATTGAAGACAACAATTGGGTAAAAAACAAAAACCGAAAAACGACGACTTTTCGGGAACTTTTCAGGAAAACCTTTCTTTTTTCGCGGACAAACTCTAAAACAGTAAAAAAAAAAAAAAAAAAAAAAATTGAAGTTGTTATGCACCTTTGGAACTGATTGCCAAGATTTCGTCGACTTTAACTGACTTTGCCATGCTTTGTTTTCCCATGACAGTTCGCCTTGGTGTGTGATAAAAAGAACCTTTTCATCATGACCCAGTCCGTTTACTTCGTGGGAATTATACTCGGCTCTGTTGTGTTTGGGTCGCTCGCTGATTGGTGAGTCGGAACGTACCTCCCGTCTGTGATTAATCAAAACAACATGGGGGCGGGGCTTAATAGAATCTCTTAGGTCTCTCAAAAGCATTTGGGCACACAGTCAAGGGCGGATCCAGAACACACCTTTTTTGCGGGGGAGGGGCTAAAAAAAAAGGCCTTCAAAAAGTGGGTCAAAAAATTACGGCGTGGGGTTCAGGGCCAGCTTAAGGGCCCCTAAAAATGTTGGATTCTAGTTGCTCTGTGGTGCGATCTGAGGCAAATTCTGACCACTTTGACCAATATATTTTGAGGAAGAGATGGTGGTGCACGCAGGGCCTGCCTTTATTGTGACGTCACTTACAAATAAACCAATTGGGTTCGGGTTTTTTAGGGGGGGGGCATGGCCCTCATTGGCCCGCCCCACCCCCGGATCTGCCCTTGCACACAGTAAAGGAAATATAAAATAATGATCAGCAATATTTACATGAAACTTTGAGAATGGGATTGCCGGTGTTCTGCTTCTTGAAATAGCAAATTAAAGGCAGCATATAGGATCATTTGCATTTATCTCAAAAGTAACCTGACGAATTATTCTCAAAAGGCGTACTTGGATTAAGGATCGTACTGGCACTAAGCACCCCGTGAAATTATTGCGTCTGGTGTGTTGTCATTTAGAAGAAATCAAGAAATGTTGGTGATTTCCAACGATCAGTCCATTGAGTGATTTGCGGAATAAAGGGTGCTATTGTCAAAATCATGCTTCGTAATCAAAAGGTTGTGCGTGGCTTTTCCCTGTTTTCTCGAAACGTATAACATCCACTGAGCTGAAACTTCCACAGGTTACGTTTTGACCATTCTTCTTTAGACTGTGAGTAGTGTTTTTATTAGAAACGAATTAAGGCATGAAAAGCAAATGATCCTTTTTGCCTTTAAAGCTTGACATTTTCTAAGAAATGAAATGCAGATATTAAAGGGAATGTACATCTTTGGCTTTTGTTGTAATTTTCAGAAATGAACTATTTGAGGGGTTAGTATAATAGATCAAATATTGTTACACTAACATGTTTGAAGTTTTCTTTTCGAAAATGCCGGAAAAACCAAGAAAAACAAAAATGTTCAAGCAGTCTGGTTCCCTGACTCCACTAAAGATGAAATAGATCAATATTTATAGATGCCAGAAAATTGTAAGGTAAGGGAACCTGTCTAGCCTGCCTGCATCCGTTCATGAACATGTAACCAATAGCAAACTAAATTTGGACTGAAAAAATGGTAAATTTGGATCAGAAGTTGAAAAATAGTTAGTTTTGTCTCGTTCATAATTTTCCTTTGAAGGTTCGGACGCACCTATATGATGTGGATCGCTTTGACTCTGTGGTTTGCTGCAATAATTGGCTTGGCGTTCTCACCTAACATCGCTGCATACACGATATTCCGTGCCTTAGATGGAGCGTTCAGCTACGGAACATTCCTGCCTGCTTACGTCTTAGGTAAACACGGGTGGAATTGCGATTTCTTTTATAAAAGATGCTATAAGATTGCAATTAAAATTTTATTGTGTTAAAATGGCAACATTGGTAGAGTTTTTTCCTGTACAAAATGAGAACATGAATATTTACTTTGCAGGTATGGAGTTTGTCGGTCCATCCAAGCGAGCCATCGTCGGAGTTGTGTGGCAGATCTTCTTCCGGGCCGGTCTCATGATCCTCGCTGGGGTCCCTTACATCAGCAATGATTGGCGTACACTAGAACACTCTATCGTATCTTTTATTACCCTCTTCTGCTTCTGTATGCCGTGAGTATCTGAAGAGGAGACTAAAAAATTGGTTTGCTTTTTTTTTAAGCGGCCAGAAAATATGAAGTAGTGTTGAGCCCACTTAAAAAAAAATGCGTACCTGATTCTGGCGCTCGTCCATATATTCCTTTTTTTTTGTTGCACTCTGTAATTTTATGATCATTTCACATCTTGTTAACATAGTGATCACATATTGCAATATTTGAAATCCGTTTGTCAATAGCCGTCGGGCCGAGATAATAGGTAACCATCTTGGATCATAAGTCTTACCATTTTGTCCTTTTGAAAGAAGTCGTTATGAACGCTTTTTATCCGATATCCCGAAACAATAATGCTTACACAGACTGTATTTGCCGAGTATGGTTTGTTTGTAAAATAATATGTAATCATGTTCGCTTGGGCAGCCTTTTCCCGGAATCTGCGCGCTGGCTGATCAACAGAGGGCGTCACGAGAAAGCCGAGAAGATCATTAGAAAGGCTGGCAGGGTAAACAACAAAGAGCTCCCGGATGTGTTGTTTGAGGAGGATGAAATCAAGGAAATGAAGGTGGGTTTTTTTTTATCTTTCTTGAGGATGTAGTGTTTGAAATAGCAAGGGAATTATAATACAAACAGATGTAGGCATTAGGCCTTGTTGTTGAAAACATGATTCATCAGGAACTACTTTCTGGTGCATGGATCACGTTAAAGGCAGACGCACATCGGTACAGTTGCTCTTCATACTTTAAATCCAAACGCATTTAGAAATGTACTTATGTCTGCAACGACCAAATAAACGTGACATCCAAAATGTATTGCCTTACAGGAGAAACTGGCAACGGAACGAAAACCAACCGTGTTGGATCTCTTCAAGTCCCCAAACATCGCTTTGAAAACGTTCAATCTCATGTTCAACTGGTGAGAAAATTATTTCTCTAAGTCACAGTTTGTCAAGTGCAGTCACATAATACACAAGTATACGCCGTAGAAGTGGTTACGTCATACGCCGCCGAGGTCTCGCGTTTCCCGGGGTTATGTCCAAACACATGGACTTACGTAGCCTTTAGTCAAGTCCCACGCGCCTATACCCGGACCATCCGGACACGCACCCCGGATGCTGGCACGTAAAAAAGACTAGCACGAGCGGCCGCTCCTACTAGACTTTTTACGTGTCAGCATATCCGCTGTGCGTCAGGTGTCCGGGTAAGCGCGTGGAACTTGACTAAAGGCTAGGTCTTACGTAGCGATGGGCAAGGTGCCCACTTTTTCATCAATTTTCCATCCGTAGGAAAAGAAAAATAACGGTATTCTCACGTTTTGAGCGATGATCACAGTCAACTACAAAAGCACTGTACCATTTTTTAGTCTACTTGATTCTCAATTTCTGAGACATTTCAACTTGAAAATGTTTACCCAAATCCATCCCGTGCAAATCCTATGGTAAAAATGGCGGACTAGACATTGTTTGGAACGATCACTATGATGGGAGATGACCGTGCGTGACGTCACACTACTACGACATATTGACTGCTTCGAGTTGTGTAGTAAAACTAGCCCACACTAGATCACCGAGGGGGGCTTGTTTTACTACACCACGAGATAAAGCAGTCAATACATGCATTGTTTTATAACCTTTTTCTCACAGGTTCTGCTTGATTTAAGCCATAACTGTTTAATTTAATCTAATCGCAATAACATTGTGATTCATTTGAATAGGAAATTAGTTGAAAATGTATTTGCACTCTTCCAACCTACCCCTGCACGAAATATTTGAATCCAGCTCTGTATCGCTAGCGCTTGAGAGCCATCTATATCAACAGAATAGATAATTAAAGATAAGGACGTGTATCTGAATGAACAATGTGATTTTCTTTAACATAATTTTTTTTTTAAACATACCGCAATTAGCTAGATTTAGATTTATATCGTGTACTTGGTGTTGTTATTCACAACGTGTAGTATACATGTGTTTTCGCAATCATTCGTCCACGCCTTCTTTGAACTATTCATTTCCTTTCCAATTTGTTCATATTAATATGAAATCTGATATTGCATGTTGTCTCGTTAAGATCGCAACAGTTTAATCAAAATAAAATCGTATTTTCGTAACTCATGCCGTGCTTGCGCCACGACGAATTGATTTTTTGTTTTTTTACTCAGACACCGCATACAAAAACAAATGCAATTGTAACACACAGGCAGGCACCAGACTATTCCTCATTTGCATACGTGTTCAAAAATCGTGCGCATGCAAATGATCCAATACCAGGGTGAGAGAGCAGCTAGTGGTGGGCGCGTACTGCACGACACCCTGGGAACGAGGTTGTCTGTCCCAAATACAAAGAGGCAGAATAGCTTAATAACGAGGGTCAAAGCCAAGTGGTATGTGGGACGCAACATTTTCCGTGTTCCAGGCCGTGCGAGTGGGATAACGAAATGTATCTTGAAGCAAACCTGGCGCACAGTAAACATTCAACACGCTACCGCTACACGGAATTTCCAGCGGGAAGCGTGTGCGTACTGCTGTGCTGTACTGGTTCCCGCGCGAAGTACACACGACTTCCCGGATGTGCCAAAGCTAATCCCCGCCCCGGTAACGTTGGATCATTCCAAATGCGCAGTGGATGTACCAGGAACCAGTCTAGGTCTCCCCCAACTCTCCTTTTCTGGCCGTTCAAGAAGTACTTGTGCACGGAGCTTATTGCAGTGCACAGCAAGATAGCAAAAATAGCGAATGGCATATATGACTCGCTCTCGGCCAATCAGGATACAGAATCTGTGAATGGGGTGTTATAATGTCCACCATTCCATTTTCACCACTGTTACTGTTTTCCAAAACTGTAATCTGACCACATCTTTAATAAGCCTAACACCAGGGACAAATTTCAGAATTTACTTTTCTCAAGTGGGACGTTTCATTTGTCTTAGAGGAAAACACTGTCATGTCTGGAGAGTGGAGAATTAATTATTTTTGATCAAAGAATATCTGTTAATAATTATTTGAGGTACTGCTGAGTTGTTTTATCTGGGGGTTTTTTGTTATCGTACTTTGATTCCAAGTGAAGAAATTGACACTTATTCACATTTGGATGTTTTCTTCTGCAGGTGTGTCAACAGCCTAGTGTACTATGGCCTGTCTCTGAGCATCCCAAATCTGGTATCTGATGACTACATTGCCTTCCTCATATCGGCGGCAGTTGAGATACCAGCCTACATCGTAGCCGTGGTATATATTGAGAAGCTGGGAAGGAGGCCAAATCTGGGATCTACCATGGTCGCTGGAGGGGTGGCATGTGTTGTGACAATATTCATGGGTTAGGGTGGAAATCAATTATTTTATTAATCAGTGATAATTGGTTTCATGAGAAGTCTTATTGCAGGGATTTGCTGGTACCAGAGGGGCCGGCCTATAATCCTCTTTGTGCCTGACTGACTGCTGACTGAATGACTTACTCCTTCACTGTCACTTGTGAGTTAGACTTGCATAAGTCTCAGCTTGGCCCAATTATCGGACATTGATGGTCCCAGTTGGCCAGCCTAAGGTCCTCTGTGTACCTAAATCATGGACTGACTGCTGACTGAATGACTTACTCCTTCACTGTCACTTGTGAGTTAGACTTGCATAAGTCTCAGCTTGGCCCAATAATCGGACATTGATGGTCCCATTTGGCCAGCCTAAGGTCCTCTGTGTACCTAACTCATGGACTGACTGCTGACTGAATGATTTACTCCTTCACTGTCACTTGTGAGTTAGACTTGCATAAGTCTCAGCTTGGCCCAATTATCGGACATTGATGGTCCCAGTTGGCCAGCCTAAGGTCCTCTGTGTACCTAACTCATGGACTGACTGCTGACTGAATGATTTACTCCTTCACTGTCACTTGTGAGTTAGACTTGCATAAGTCTCAGCTTGGCCCAATTATCGGACATTGATGGTCCCAGTTGGCCAGCCTAAGGTCCTCTGTGTACCTAACTCATGGACTGACTGCTGACTGAATGATTTACTCCTTCACTGTCACTTGTGAGTTAGACTTGCATAAGTCTCAGCTTGGCCCAATTATCGGACATTGATGGTCCCAGTTGGCCAGCCTAAGGTCCTCTGTGTACCTAAATCATGGACTGACTGACTAACTGACTCCCCCACTGTCACTTGTGAGTTAGACTTGTATAAGGCTTACCTTGGCTCGATAATTTGATTTTTTTTGTCCCAGCGGGCCACCTACTGCCCTGCTTGTACCTATGTCACTGACTGACTGACTCTCACTAATGAATTAGACTTGCATAAATCTCACCTTGGCCCAAACATTTGATTTTGCTGGTCACAGAGATCACCAGCCTACAGTCCTCTATGTACCTATCTCACTGACTGACTAAGGACTGACCGACTGACTGTCACTTGTAAATTAGACTGGCATAAGCCTCACGTCGGCCCAAAAATTTGACTCAGATGACTACCTGGACATCTTAGACCAAATCGATCTTGGACAAGGTTTGCTAGGTCTTGTTTTAGTATAGACTTTATAATGACATGTACATTCATGACATTTTCCACTAGAGTTGTGGTCAAAGTTAGCTTCAACCACCAGATCATTGCAATTCAATTAAGTCAGTTAACAAATAACAGGGAATGAAATAAAAGAAAAGAAAAGCCTATAAATTTCATTTAATACCCCCCAAAAGGAGTCACTGTTGCGAGTTTAATGTTACTCTCCTATGGGGCTTAGGTGACTCTCCTATTGGGCTAGGGTGACTCTCCTATGGTGCTTAGGTGACTCTCCTATGGGGCTAGGGTGACTCTCCTATGGGGCTAGGGTGACTCTCCTATGGGGCTTAGGTGACTCTCCTATGGGGCTTAGGTGACTCTCCTATGGGGCTAGGGTGACTCTCCTATGGGGCTTAGGTGACTCTCCTATGGGGCTAAGTGATTCTCTCAAAGAGTTATAGTGGTTTTTCGGTGGAGTCAAGGCACTGTTTAAAATGACCAAATTATAGTCTTAGGGACTATTGCAAAACGTTGTAGCAGCTCGTTTAATGAAGTAAATTTACCTGCAAGGCAAATAATGCTGTCCAGCAAAAACGATAACATTTTGACGTTTGTAAAATCCGGGTGATTTTACACACGTCAAAATGTCGTCCCGTCATACATACTAGTTGTGTTTGAGTGTGTCAAGCGGCTCGTCACCGTGCGTTTAGTTTTAAAACTCGTTCTTAAACTTTTGCTTATGACTTGACTTTGAACTGGATGACTTGTGACTGGTTTATAATTGCATTGTGGGGAATTGACTACAAATATTTTTGTTTCTCCTTGCAGAGCCTGGGACCTGGCAGATAGTTGTCGCAATGATCGGCAGGTTATGTATTTCTGCCTCCTATGTCATTATCTTCATCTACTCTGCAGAACTCTTCCCAACTGCGCTCAGGTAAAAAAATAATAATCTTGTTCTAACTTTACACACACAAAAATTGGGGTACCACTAGGCAAAAACAGTCATAACCAAAACAGCCCAGTGTTGATTAACTGACAGGAAATTAATTCAAAATATATATTAAAAAAAAGCTGCAATCTACTGATAACATGTCAATGCAAATGACTGTTCCTTTCTTTTTGGCTGCTGAACCTTATACACTCTCTTATTTTCGAAAAGCGGAGCTTCCGGACCTGACGAATTAGAATGTAAATCAATCAAATATTGAAATACCTTTTGAAAAACCATTCCATTAGAAAGTTGATCTATTCGATTATTGTCACTCTAAAATTGTCTGGTCCCTAGTTTCGGTCGAATACAGTAAATCCTCAATGGAGTAAACCGAAATTTCACTGTGAGGAAATTAAAAAGTGCAAGAATACAGTTCACACATGGTGGAGTTTCAGCTGAGATTTGAGCTCACTTTGAATAGCTTGTGACTTGACTGGGGACTGGATAACATGTGGACTACAATTATGGTTCCATTTTGTGTGAGGTCTTCGAAATGTTTGACCGTTATGCTGCTTGCGTTTGTCTTGTTATATTTCTAGGACGGTGGGAATGGGCATGTGCTGCGTGGCGTCAAGCATCGGTAGCATCATCGCCCCTTTCGTTCTCTTGCTGCATGACGTCTGGGAGCCGTTACCGCTGCTCCTGTTTGGTGTCCCATCTATCCTGGCCGGTCTCTTGGCATTCCTTCTGCCCGAGACCAGAGGCAAATGCCTGCCGGAGACCGTGGAGGAGGCCGAACAGTTTGGAAAGTAAGACCAGTTCAAACATAACACCCACTTAATATGTTTTTTGTTTACTTCTTGAAAGACGTTTGCAATAAAAAAGGTCTATACAGAAGTGACTTAATTTACCGAGAACCAGATGTGTAACTCACCAATGTTGACAATTTACACAACTGAAGGGTTAAATCCAACATTAAAAGATATTGGGATTCTTCCTGTGATAATTGTTTTCTATTTCTATCCCTTTTTACGCCCATTATTCCCCCTTTTCCACCCATTTTCATCTCAGAGTTTTGCTACATCCCTAACGGCCACGGGATCAGCCGCTGCAGAGTGTTCATTAAGAAGACTGCAAAGCTGCAAGAACGAAGACAAATGGACACTGCTTGAGCTTGGTGCGGTGGTCAGCGTTCCTCACTCATCGAAGTCTTAGATCAGAACCACTTAAACTGGAATTGTTGAACTGGCTTTTCTGCGAAGTTATTAAAATGATAGTGGATTTTTAAAGGAACGCCTAATAATATAATTTCATTTCTGTCATTTATAATTTATTCAACACAGCGTAAAGATAAATCAGAATCGGAACATGCATAAAACAATTAATGAAAGATTCATTAAGAAAATAATTGATGACGTCATGCATACAATTCACATAATCTAACTACCCACCGGGTTTTAAAACAATTGACCTATCGCCGTTTACAAGTTAGCCACACCCCTTAGACAACCCAATGGAATTGTGTCCTTTAAGTTTTGTTTGTTTCAGATTTTGCGCGTTCCGCGTCCATTTGTATAATATCCATAGATATAGAATAAAAAGACTGGATCGGCAGCGCGTGCATACGTGCCATCCGGTTCGTTAGTAAAAACGTCATACACGCGCGCACACCACTGATTACTAGCGCCCATTGGCTGCAAACGCTCGAGCTGCGTTAACTTCCGGTTCCAATCGTGCAAAAAGTGCTGGAGGTGACGTCACACTAACGAACCGGATAGAGTGGGCACACATTTCCCCATGCATGGACGCTCTACGCGCAGTAGTGCATGGGGCAAACCGTGCGTTACGCGCACCTTCATTCCCGTTGGTTTGTGCACTAAGGGGGGGGGGGGCACTGTTGCTTTTGATAGCCAGTTCAGTGACCATTTAATTCGCATGAGGAGCACTATAATTTTTTTTTTACAGGCCAGTTTTCCATCTTGAGAGGGGCACAGTTTTAATGTTGCGTGCGGGCCACTATTTGTGCTTTCGAGGGGCAGTTTTCTATCTTGGTAAGTTATCGCGAGAGGAGCACTATTGTTTTCGATGGCAAATTTCCCATCTCGAGAGGGGCACAATTTTATTATTGCGAGAGGGATGTTTGTTCTTTCGGGGAACGTCCCGAAAGCCGTTTCACAGTTTTGTTAATGGGCGAGGGGTATTTGTGTGTTTGAGGGGTACTTTTGCATTGCAAGAGAGGAGATAATTTTTAAGCGCGATCATAATGCCTTCATGTGTACGTCTGAGGGGCAGTTTTGTCTGAGGGGACACATTATGACCGCGAGAGGGGCACTTTTGTTGGCCTGGGGAAAAAAATGGCTGCGGCCCCCCCCCCCCCCCCCCCCGGTTCCGCCGCCCCTGGACAGACTATTCATTGTAATTCTGTCAAGGGTCAAAACCTGTACTGGGCCGAGTTTTACCTGGCTAAGATTGCTGGCTTGTTTGTTATGCAAAGATTATAATGGACTAGACTTCGTGCAGAGCTTTTTGTGGAAACAGGTCATGGCTAATGCTGAAGGCATTGGGCCATGAGGTGTTAACTTTAATAATGGGAGTGGTTAAATCACTGTCAAAAATTGAATAAATTGTCTTAAAGAAAATGATGTCTTCTTTCTTTAAATTAAGCCGTTCCACATGCCCAGAATACCAGTTACCCTTTTGCACAAACTTGGCCCGGTGCAGGTTTTGACCCTTGATGGAATAACAACGAATGTTCAGTCATCCGTGACCACAGACACACAATCAAACTATCTTTGTAAAGAGGACACATTGGTGTTTCACTTGATCCTTAACTTTTTTGATTATTTCTTTTAGAATTATTTTTAATTTACATTTACATCTTGGATTCCTTTTTTTTGATACACTCTGCGTGCCAACGGTTCCTCTGATTATGCAGTCATCCGGTGTATGCAGGTCCTTAAATGGTATGCTCCAACCTCGTCCCCAGGGTGTCGAACAGTACGCGCCCATCACTACCTGCTCTCTCACCCTGGTATTGGGTCATTATTTTGCATGTGCAAGATTTTTGAACACGTATGCAAATGAGGAACAGTCTGGTGCCTGGATATGCGTTACACATTAGCGTTTGTGTTTTGTATGCGGTGTCTGGGGTGAAAACAGAGTCAATTCGTAGCAGCGCGAGCACGGCGTAAGTTACGAAAACACGATTTTTGAAATCAAACTGTTACGATCTTATCGAGACAACATGCAGTATCATATTTCATACTAATATGAGCAAATTGAAAAGGAAATTAGTATTTTCGAGAAGGCGTGGACGAATGATCGCGAAAACACGTACTGCACGTTGTGAATAATAGCACCAAGTACACGATAAAAATCCATTACTAGCCAATTGCGGTATCCAATCAGGATACAGGAAGAAAGTTACCTATCCAGGGTTTACTATTGGAAACGCGGTTGGAAATAAAGTAAGCACTGGGGACGAGGTTGGGTATGTTCCGATTTCACTGTCTTCTGACGTAACAGTTGGCACGTGAAAAAAAAAAACGATTTATTTGTTAGCTGTTCCCAATTTCGATAACAATCCGGACAAAAGCAAAGGATTATCAAGCCATCAAAAAAGGGGAATATAAAATCTTAACGGAAACAAGAGCTGTTTCAACTGACTTGCCGAAACAGCTAAAACACGGGTTTTTTGTGTTCAACAAAGAAGAACACTGCAAGCCAAGACATACAATATCGCTGATACCAGTTTATTTTTGTCCGAAATAATCCAGCTGCAAATTGACAAAAAGGTTACAAAAACATGTAAGTCCATAAAAATAAATTCCCTTACAAGATTTCTGTATAAAAAAATACAAATCGATTAAACATGTACCGAATGCGATTTGACATTTATTGAGTAATGATAGTGTTTTCTTGCATCCAATTCAGAAATTTGTGAAACTTTATTGAGTAGAAAAATTAATGCCAAACCATGGAAATGCAGTTGGCCACACCGACAACTTGCATAAAAAAATAACCTCAATGATCTTATCAAATATGATCTCTCTCTTTATTTAGAGAACTTTGTTACCTCTCTGGTTTAAAAATGTGATTATCTTGCATGCACACTTGGTGTAAACAACAGTCAAAATTTGTCAAATGACAAAAAATTGCAAATAATATGCCACACAGTACAAACTGAGTCAAAAAAGGAAACCCAATTGGCAAGACCATCTTGTTAATGTAGTTCTAAATGTAGCACTTTCAAAATCTTGGATATAAAAGCCCAATTAATAAGCTTTCTTTTAGTACAAGAATCATTTAAATCACTCATGTACTTTTCAAGTTACGCAATTTTAAACACCACCGTTTTAAGGTTCTGTCCACGGATCACAAAAAAGGTAAGTGTTCTTTCAGCAAAAGGAAAAAAAATTACCAACATCCCCATGTTACTAAGAAACCTCCTTCCAAAAACTGAAGTTTTCTCGCATTATCTGAATGGACTCACAGTCCATTCTTAGGGGTGCTGTGGTCCAATTGTTACAGTGTTCGACTCAAGTGCCGCCCACATGGGATCGAATCCTGACCGTGGGAACATGGTGCCTGCGCTCTTGAGCAAGGCACTTTACCATTATTGCTTCATCCTTTGGATGGGACGTAAAACCGTAGGTCCCGTGTGTTGTGTAATGCACGTTAAAGAACCCAGTAACAATAACACTAATTTGTTCAAAGAAGGGGCTCGCCCCGGTGTTTCTGGCAGTGGCTGCAATGTGCACCGCAGCACCTTGTAAACCCTTATAAGGTGTTACATAATGGATCTCATATTTCTCATAAACTTTATTTACATTTCTTTTATAACAGACATGATTTCCAGCGCACTGAGAACCTAATTGTTGGAAGATACGTGCACTTTATAAGACTCGGGTATTATTATTATTATCTACTGTTGCGCTTTAAAGGGAATATACATCATTTGCTTTTGCTGTAATTTTCAGAAATGGATGGAATTGGGGGGGTTGGAAATATAAAGCAAATATAGTAACACTGACTTTTTGGAGGTTTTGGGTTCGAAAATGCTATAAAAACCAAGAAAAACGATCATTTTCCTGTAGTCTGGTTCCCTGACTCCATATCAGAAGAAACAGAGCAGTTTACATACATTGGGGAATTGTAAGGTCAGGGAACCAGTCTAGCTGGCTCGTACCCGTTCATAGGTTTGTAATCGATTGCAAACAAGTGCAATGGTCAATTGGGGCCAGTATTTGAAAAAAAGCCAGTTGTTTCCAACGCTGATCGGCCGATCAGCGTTGGAAATTGATACAAAAATACCACTTTTCTTGAAAATGACAGTATACCAGGTGCCATAATTTTACAGGATGCTTTAGACTGTCATTTACCAACATCCTATTAAGGTATTTCGCAAAAACTTGGTAGTTTTATTTTTCGATGTTTGCAAATGTTGTATATTCCCTTTAAGCATAGTGCTAATACGTACATGCAAGTACACGCGCTGATGATCTGTCTTGTTTTGAATACAGGGTGAGTAAAAAATAAAAGGAAACAAAAATGGCAGGACCATTTTTTTAAATGAAGATCTGCATTTAGCACTTTTAAAATCTAGGATATGAAAGCCCAATGAATAAGCTTTTTTTTTAGAACAAGAATCATTCAAATCTTTTCAAGTTACGGGATTTTAAACACCACCTCCATTTTAAAGTTCTGTCCATGGATCACAAAAAAGGAAAGCGTTTTTTTCATCAAAACGAAAACAATTCACATAGGGATGTCAGTGCATAGTTTTCGTTTGGCTGAAAAGAACACTTACCTTGTTTGTACTTGAAAAGTGCATAAGTGATTTGAATGATTCATGTAGGCCCCCTTCTAAAAAAAATCTTATTGATTGGGCTTTCATATCACAGATTGTGAAAGTGCTACTTGTAGAACTTCATTACAAAAATGGTCCTGCTTTTTGGGTTTCCTTTTTTGTTTAACTCACTCTGTACATTTGGTCAACTATTAAACACACACATTAAATGCTTGCAAATATCCAACATATCTGCCCCCTGTTTTAATTAACATACAATCATCGTATATTCATATTAATGTAACCATGCCTTATTTCATTCTACATTACGGTAATATACACAGTTTTCTTTACACGATTACAATTTACAGAAACGGAAATGTTTCAGAAATATGATTTTTTTTTTCCATTGGCTGTTGCCTAATTAAAAACAGGGAAAACAACCATCATAATTAGGTTAACTTCATCGCTATTTTTTTCACGCAGGGCAAAGATTTAAACTTACACACAACCTGTGATTGTGTTTTTCATGTCTACCGTTCCTGCTTGCTTGGAGGACGTCGCATTGTGTTGATTATGGTGATTACTATACTGCATGTTAACCCATGTACATTGTAATTACATTTATGCAGAATGCTCCCTTTACAGATCAGGCTTCAATCCATCTAGATTAAAATTCGTTAATTTTCGTTCATCATTCTTTCAGGTGGGGCTATTTTGGACATCTCTTTTTCCCAATAGATAGTATTATAGCGATATTTTGTAATTATTGTCCAACTTGTGCGCCCTGACTAGTCTCCGCACCAATCACGACGCGGATTGGACTCTCAAAAAGTATGCCAAGACTGCCAAGCGCGAATCCAACGCTAACCATCTCGTTGACATCTACATAATCCCCAGTAGAAACGTAGCGAATTTTATCGGGATCTAGTTTGGGTAAACTTCCGAGATGTACACTGAATCTAACAAGTGCAGGTGCATTTAAATAATTGCCAGACAGATCAAGGACTGTCAAATCACGTGTGCGTTCAGGAGGGAAGATGCTGATCAGGTCATCGACGTCGTCATCCACCATGTCGTTAACATGTGCTGTAAATGAGTACAGGGATGGGTGAACGAGAAGCGCTAGACTCTTGACCCGCCCGTGCAGGTAGGTGCCGTAGAATGCGACACACCGTAGCATACTGAACACCGGACACTGCAGCTCACGAACACACTTCAAGTAATGTTGCAATGAGATCCAATCCTCCTGTGGCCTCCTACACTGCACATAGGTTGGTCGGTCTAGCTTATCAACCATTTTTGTGGAACCAGTCTCAAACAGCAACACCCGTACTAATGTCTGCACCTCCAATGATCTACTTTCTCTGCAATTTCCTCCCTCCAGGTGCCAGCAGCTGTTCACATCGTGCACCTGTATGGTTTGCTGTTTCTGAACGTGCTCCAGGATTTCCTCAGTAGCCGGAGACTCTTTCAATAAGCCGCATGCAAACCGAAGCACATATTCCATTGCAAAGACATTGTCTGAATTGATCTGCTTCAACCTCTCACTAAACTTCTCTTTGTTCTCGTCATACAAGTGGGCAAAGTAGTATGCCGCACTATACTCCTGAAAGGACTTGTGGAGGAACGTGACTATTTTCCTCTCCTCAAAGTCGCTATTCGTCACACTGTCCAATTGTATGAAACCACTCTCCCCGGGTTCAGTCTTCAAGACAGATTCACAGTCAAACTCCAAATCCCATAACTCGCTTCGGTTGTCTATTAATGCATCAAATGCGGCACTTCCAAGATTGTTGAGGTCGGATGCCAACTTCTCCTTCCAATCTGATCTATCGCGGCGCTTTGCAAGAACCTTTGTGAATCTTTCGTACAGCCCCGTCACACGGTCATCTATCAAAACACTGCCGAAGTAACGGAAAACTTCGCACATGATCTGACAAAGAATTGGAATACACGCCATTGTCTTCAAAATCGTCTTACTTTCTAAGCGTTTAATTAAATCTTTGGCTTCAGTCTCTGAATTCCTAAAATGCTTCGTGATATACTCATTGATGCCTTTAGTTGTGAAACCCGATGTATGAACCACAGCATAGTTCTGATTGTCATCCCGAAGACACTTCACCATATGTAGCCGTGTTGCCACCACAACGCGACTGTCTAGTAAAGCCTTCTTATGCAATACATTATAGATACAGAATTCTTTATTCTCATCCTGATCAAGCAACCCGCGTCCAAGTTCATCTAAACCGTCCAATAAGAACACACTTTCCTTTTGATTGTAAGTAATTATCCTGATTAAATCATCGCGATCTGGCCGTTTCTCTTGCGAAAAACATTGGTCTAAAATTGCATCAATGATGCACGGGGTTTTCATGCGTTTTAAATTTATAAAGAACAATAGCCTGAAATTGGGATATTTTGCCCAAGTAGCTACGATTTGCTTAAGAATGGTTGTTTTGCCATGTCCAGCTCCACCTGTAAGAGTGACTAACAACTCCTTAATCTTTTCCGCATTTAGAAAGTCATCCAAGGAGTCTAACGGTTCGGTTCGAACTTTATCATATACTACTTCCCCCAACGTTTCCTTCATCGTCTGTTTATCTATAAACAGACGTACCTCGGTATACATCTCACCAACCGGCACCTGATGATTTCTATGGGATGCAGTGGGGTGTGTAGACAAGATAACCCGGTTCTTGTAGGTATTGTTAAGCTGTTCCTGGCACAATGGCAGGTCCCAAGTTTCTGTCGGATTAAGAATGGTTATAAGCAGTTACTTTGTATTGTCCCCTTCAAACATCTTGTCTAGTGTGTCTATGATTAATACACACTATGCACACTATCAATTACCGGGCGCTGGGTTTAGAAAATAGAAAACAACTTAAAGATAGCTGATATCAAACAGAACTGTGTTTGTGGCCGAAATACAGACTTGATATCACCTCGGGGGGAAGGGGGAGAAGATATCCAAACAGTAAAAGTGTCATATAAAGCAGGGTGACCGTATGGAAATGGCACAATTCTGCTCAGGATGCACTTCAAAAATCTGCTAGATTTAACAAAAATCTGCTTAATCGCCCAGAGTAACACATATTATAGTCACATGCAGATGTTATAAAATTTCCTTTAAAAAAACTACAATCATAAAATGTCCTTAAAATAATAATTAAAAAAATTGCATTTATTATGCGCATATACCATAAAATGTTCAAATGCGCATTACAAAATTTGAACGGTAGCTAAAATATTAAAAGTACGAATTCGAATTAAACATTAGTCTTAAATGTAAAAAACACTAGATATTTAGAAAACACTGTCAAAACAATGAAACTTAAAATTACAAAAACAAGTCCTACATTTAAAATAGATAATAGTAAAACCCTTAACGAATGCCTTTGTAAAAACAAAAGTCTTAAGCTTAGTCTTAAAAACTGTTAGAGACTGAACAGACTGAATTTCAGGCGGTAGCTGGTTCCATACGCTGGGAGCGGCTTGTGCAAATGCACGATCCCCCATAGTCTTTTGCATTCTCCAAAATGGATAATCTAAAAGCAACCGCCCATTGGACTGAAGGGAATACATGTAGTTGGAATGGACCTTAACTTTCAACATATCTATAATGTATCTGGGAGCAAGATCATGAAGAGCCTTGAAGGTCAACAGAAGGATTTTAAAGTGTATGCGAGATTGTATAGGCAACCAATGAAACTGATAAAGTAAAGGAGTAACATGGTTCCAAGATGGTTTGCCACAAACAAGCCTTGCTGCAACATTCTGAACTCGTTGAAGCTTAGCTAATTGTGAATTTGGTAAGCCATAATATAAGCCGTTGCAATAATCAAGGCGACTGGTTAGGACACAAATAATGTGTTTACGGTAACGGCCTGAAAAAAAATCCAGGTAGGTAGGTAGGGAAATAATTTTATTTTGTAATTTTTTTCATTTCAGTTCTGCATGCCCATGCGTGTTCTTTCGCAATTTTTTTTTAATAAAAACATTATTCAAGCATTCAAGATATTCAATCGATACATTTCATTCCAAATTAATTCCCAGGGTTCTCCCCAGGATTTTTTCAAACCTGTGGGGGAAGTTTTGCTGTAATTCAACAACCCGTGAAGCCATGGCGTTGGGTTTGGGGCCCGCTTAAGGGCCCCGAAAATTGTTGAACTTTAGAAGCTCTCTGGTGCATTTAGAGCAAATCTGGGGGTCTTTAACTTAAGATTCGTCCTTAAAATTCAGAGGAGATCATGTAGGCCCCTAATAATTTTGTAATTAAAAAAAAAAAAATCTAAATTGTTAACTTTAAAAAAAAATCAACATTTCACAGCCTGTGTTAAACTGCTTCCTAAACTAGAAAAGTACATTTTCAAATTAAGAAATTAAGGTGTAGAAAAAAATCACTTTTGCTTCCGATTACATGCCTTTCAAAATAGCGTCAGAAGGTCGGAAAAGATATTTCGCCAATTTTTTGGGGGTGCTGATTAATGGAGCATCATTATTAATACTAGAACAAGGAATCATGTTTATTTTGTGCCTGGATTATTTTCATTTGCGCCACGAAAATTATCAAGACTGGCTATCAAAAGTGATTTAAACTTGCCTCACCAAGTTAAAAATATATTTGAGGTGGGTGATTCCACTATATGCTAACATACATCACGGTCGCTGGCGCCCGGCTCCAACATTCAGTTTGGCCGGCCATACAATCGCGCCGTGCTCACGGCGCAGTATTACTGCACTGTGCACGGCCCATCCCACGTGGCCGAAAATCTTGCACTACTGCAGAAACACGCTACGAGGTTTTGCCACAAGTTCGAGCTTTGCAATCTCATCAATTTAATGGAAAACACATACACAGAAAATAAAGATCACGTTCTGTGAATTAATTCGCAGAAATTCTCTTTCTCCAGCGATGTTTGTTTGGTATTTTTACGATCCAAATTCGGCCGATTGCACTACAGAGTGTTTCAAAAAAAAGGAAACCGAGCTTGTTTTGTTAATTTCTTGGGTATGACTAATTATTTAGGAAAATGGTAACCATTATCTGTTACATAACAATGTCTTCTTTGTTATGATACCAAGAACTCCATTTTACCGTCACGGGTGACTGAGCACCAAGTGATGTAACTGACATGGCAAAAATGGACTTGTACCACATGCACCATAAGACCAATTGACAGTTTTCAGCATGTTGGAAATAAAAAAATCCAGGACGTACATTATCAAAGTCATTTATTCAACTGCTAACACATATCAAGGTTGATCACTGTCCCCGTTAACCCCACTGTCCTTCAACATGCCCACCATTTCTTTCAACGCAAATCTCTGCCCTGGTTCTCATTGCTGCGAACGCATTCCTGATAACGCCTCTCTGTCCTCTCAAGTTCTCAACAGCAGCCACAATCCTGGCCCGTAGCTCATTGATGTCTCTGGGTGGCGACGTGTAAACCTTGTCCTTAAGGTGCCCCCACAGGAAGAAGTCACAAGGGGTGAGGTCCACCTTGTTGTTGCTCGAAGTGTTGCTGCAACTGTGGTACGATTTCGTTGTCGATCATTTCAAGGTTCTGTTCCCCATTGAGAGTGCCATCGAAGAAACAAGGTCCGATGAGTGTCCCATCTCCACATAGGCCTATCCAAAGAGAGATCTTCTCCCTACTCACATTTACGCCAAAGGGGAAGGGAGGCGGGTTATGCCGCGGTGCATATTCACGGACATTTTGATTATTGACTCTGCCATTCATAAAAAAACGCAGCTTCATCCCGATCAGAAGGTTCTCCAAGAATCTTGGCTGTTGGTCAAGGAGCCACCGGCAAAATCGTACTCGTCTGGGTAGATCCGCAGCAAGAAGTTGGTGACGCCTTTGCATTTTGTACGGGTACCAGTTGATGTCCAGCCGCACAATCCTGTTGAAGGATGAAGATGAAATTGCTAAACCATTCCGCCTGGCAGATACATGGGGGTTTCTTTCCAGTAACTCACGGACGGCCCTGATGTTCTCATATGATCGAGCCGTCCTTGGTCAACCAGAATGATCTTTGTTGAGGTTTAAACTTGCACCTTCTCTCTGGTGCTTCCTGATGTTCTTCCAAATTATGGACTTCGCAGGAACAGCACGGTCTGGAAAATGTTCTGCAAATCGATCAGCAACTTGCTGAAGGCTCCCACTTCTCAACCACTCTGTCACGATGAAACCTCGCTGCTCCGTTGTTAGTTGCATCTTGCAAGGGTCTAATTGGTCTGAGCAATGCACGGCCTTTTGAAGCCCGGATCATACTTCATGCGAAAGCGAATGCGAAGCGAATTTGACGTCATGAAACATTCGCTGCGAAATTCGCCCGAGTTGAAATGTGTTCAACTTGTACGAATTCGCAGCGCGAATACTTGACATGACGTCGCAAATTCGCGTTCGCGTTCGCTTTCGCGCCGAGTATGAACCGGGCTTAAGAAGACATGTACACGGGTGAAATTGAAATGGGCCTCACAATCTGGTACAACGCCATTTCTGGCATGTCAGTTACATCACTTTGTGCTCAGTCATCCGTGGGGGTAAAATGGGGATCTTGGTATCATAACAAAGAAGACATTGTTATGTAACAGATGGTGGTTACCATTTTCCTAAATAATTAGTCATACCCGAGAAATCAACAAAACAAGCTCGGTTTCTTTTTTTTTGTGAAACACCCTGTATAGTTGTGTTCCCTAACGTGGCGCACTTCGAAGCTTACCCGACTTTCCTCGTGTAGTGTTGCCAAACCTGTTCGTTGACAAACCTCAAATTCATGCAGTAAAATACTAGTACTTTTACCTTATTAATGCTTGCTATTTAACCTCTGTGAACAATTTCGGTTTCGTAAAATTTAATCCGAAATTCAAAAAAGGTGGCGTCCGGAAATTGGGTACAAATTGGAGGAGTGTTCCCTAACGTGGCGCACTTGAATAAATCTCGGAATATTCCAAATTAACATTTAAGAATTTCTGTAA